CATTGAATGGTATCAATGTCTGTCAAGTGTTCCTTCAAAGAAATCAGATAACGCATGTTCATATAATTGCTATATGTACAGAATGTGAAGCATAGTGTATTATGTTTCTTTGCCACGGAAAATTTAATTATGGTCCTATAAATGTATCCTGGAAAAAGGAATGCATGCATTTCAGGAGAGAGGAGGGAGGACTGTATATCAAGGTGGAAATCAGGAAAATTTTGCTCACAGTGTTTGTCTTCTTATGCCAACAAGCCAAACAAGTCAAGCTTTATCTCGACATTTACGCTGTGTGATCCCACTGTCATTATCTGGTAGTCAGAGACAGTGAGTGTTTCATTTACATGAAGTTCAGTCAACACTTAAATGCTTACTCATCTCTTGGGATGCAACAGATGCTTCAGTGTCAACGCACACACGCATTTAAACACACCAGCGTTGCAGCCATTCTTGCAAGGGACAAGACAATCTACATGTCCCTTCTCTTTGCTTAAGTTGGGGTCTGTCTGTCTAGTGGGTGTCTCTGTCTCGCACACTCAGGCATAGGTGAAGCCTTTGAGGTCAGTTGTGAGACACTTCTGTCTTTACACACAAACACACACACACACTCACACACACTCACACAGAGTACAGAGAAACAGCATGGCTAAAGTTTGCCAGACCTCCACTGCTGTGTCCATTACCATGGCTGGCTTCAGGCTCAGCTGTAAACATCACCCTAATGGCCAGGACACTTTGATGTGACCTCTTTTTTTTCCTTCCTTTGACCTGTCCAGCCATGTCCCGCCACACACACTCTTTTACCATCAAGCAGCCAGCCAAGGATACCTGTCAATCAATCTAAGCTGCTCTCTGGTTGCAGTGCTTCCAATCTCTCAGCAGGGATTTATTAGGCTGTGGCTTTATGACAAACACACACACACTCTCTTGGCTGCTTGTCTGTCTGTCTGACTGTCTGCATCTTTTAAAAGTCATTTATAAATATGTTCAAATTCACAGTCTCCTTCTTTCATGTACACAAACCCTCCCCCCTGCTCCCCGATGGTTATCTTACAACGTAGATGCTGACTGATTCTCCACTCTGATATTTCTCCCTGCTTTGCTTTCTTTTCTCTCTGATATCTTCTCTCTCACACTCCGCCATTACACAGTTCTACACGCTGCTCTTATCAGCAGTTACTCACTAATGGATTTGTGTGTTTACTCTGAGTTGAGGAAGGAGTGATAATAGTGGCTGTAAAGTAATCCCGCCATTGTTTACACTCATCTCCTGGGCCTTCCTCCTTCATTATCTACAGCTGGTGCTGCTTAAGTGTGTCTCTCTGTGTGCGTGTGCGTGTGTGTGTCTATTCTAGGACTCCTCAATGTGTGGGGACCTAAAACTATTTGTACAGGTACATCATGGGGACATAGATCATTGAATTTTAAGGTGAAGATAAGATTTAAGGTTAAGTAAAGTTAAGGTTAAGTTTAGACTAAAGTTAAGATAAGGGTTAGGGTGAGGCAAGTAGTGGCAATATGAAAGGTTAGAGAAAGGTCCCCAGGGAATAAAAGCTTTGTCTTTTGTCAACGCTACAGCCTCTGAAGTTATAGTGAGCTATAAGCATTTAAAAGAGCCTTTACTCAAATAATGACAACTATCTACTCTCTGAACGGACTGAAAACCATTCAACCGTACTAACGGCCAAAATGATCAGACTACAAGTTACAATACAAAGCAGTTCTCATGTTGCAGCAGAAAAGGTTATAGTAATATGGTAATAAGCCAAGATAATCTTTTCCGATTTGAAACCTAAAGCTCAAGGCTGCATTTTCATGCTTACACAGTGTGATTGCAGTTATTTGCAGTAATGCATCAAATTTCATATTAAAGGTTCATCACATCCTGCTCCATCACTGTTCTTGATTTAAACAACCAGAGCTTGTCTCAGTTGTTACTTTGTAAACTGTAGATCCTATTTTGGGTGCGCTAAACTGAAACATATGATTTTATTACAATGTGTGTAAGGTATATGTGTGTTTACTCTTTTCATCAAGTGCAACACTTTCTTACAATGTGCATGAACTGTGAGCTGAGACAAAACATGTGCTGTACCAACCAAAACATGCACTGTAGCCTAGACTGTCTGGCTGTGGTCATCAGTGCATCTTCTGCAGGTCAAACTATTCTGAGGACCTGCAGTTATTTCATTTTGCTGCGTCTGCACCCACCAACTTGGACTGAAGTGGCATTACATCATGGAAAAAGGTTTCCGATGCCCGCTCGCATTTGGAGCATGATATCATTCGGTCTCACTGAGTGGATGCACACAAATATAAGCAGAGAAACACCCACACACACGTGAAAGTGCAAACACACACGGCCATAAACACTGGTCAGAGGTTATTTAATGCCCTGGTGAGCCATCTAGACAGTGTCGTTTAGATCCCAGGGGCTCTGTGACCCTCTGTCCACAGGATATCTGATCCTGTGCGCTTCTGTCCAAAGGGTCTGATGCTTACTCATCCACCAACAACACTTTCTGACTGCAGCCAAGACAGAGATCACACGGTGGTCTATACTTTGATGTGGCTTTATTCAGTATATTATGCCAATGACCCTTTCAGTGAGGTCATTGAGGCGATAAATCTGTGGTACAAGTTAGTGCCTTTCAGTATTAATTAAAGCTCTATCGTGTCACATTTATCGTCTACCATGTTACAACCTTTAGCCCAGTGTAGGTCAGACGACTATATTTGAATTTCTGTGCAAAAATTGATATGTGGTGTAACACGGCCAGAATAACATCTCATAAATGATGCTAGTATGATATCACACTGCGAGTCTGTAAATGTTCTGACATAATCAAGCAATGATATCAGCTAACTAATGCAGGCTTTTATCTTACATAATAAAAATTCCTTTGAATTTAGGTACTTAAATATTTTTAGGTGAAATATAAATTGAGAACGTATATAATAAAATATAGAAAATAAGGCTGGAGATATGGCCAAGACTTATTATTTTATCACGATAAATAATTATGTATTTTTTGATTTTGCTACTGAGTGAAGTTATGGTTTTAAACTCTTCTTTGTATTCAGAAAATTAATTATATGAATAATGAATAATTATTGCTATTGTTTCATTGCCCAGCCCTGATATAAGAAATATTGACTCATGTTCAGGATCATCATCTTAATTTGAGTTATTATTTGAAAAGGTTTACGTGCTTTAATGTTCAGACGCATCACTTTTCTAAACTGTCAATTGCTGCATCTCCTCTTTGCAGCCTCTGCCTGAAACAGTTTGTTTTTAGCTCCTGTCTCTTTAAGGCCCTCCTCCCAATAAAGCCCAGTCTGCTCTGATTGGCCAGCTGGCCCTCTCTATTGTGATTGGTCGATTGCTTCCAGCATGTCGGGCAAATGTCAGCCTTCTCACTTTACCTGGCTTTGATTGGGGATGTGACAGACTAGCAGCTAGGTGTGATTCCATCTTCTAGATTTCTGACGAGGAGTTCGAGGAGCTTCAGGAGCGACGTTTTCTGTGAGAGAGAGTGGTTCTCATTTCCACAGACTTTGGGCTTTTTAACTTTTTCAGAAGTTTTACATCCCAAAAAAACTATATAACACACCTTCATATGTCTCCTTAAAGCCAACAATATAAGAGTGATGTGTCCATATATGTCTTAGCTAGAAATTGCTGTGCCTTTAGTTAGTTTACTGTATGATACAAAAAAATAAAAATTGATGATGTCTGTGTTTCTGTGCAGAATAAATGTAATGTAAGCATGTTAGATAAGTCACATGTGTTGATCATTAGGTTAAAATTTTAAAGCGAAGAAATCTTTTCATCTCAACATCCCTCTAATCTTCCCTTGGTGATACTACAGTGTAAATGTTCCTCCTGACAAAACATAAGCCATAGATGAAACCAGATGGAATTTCTCCATCCATATTTATTTAGATTCAATCGTGCTCATATACAGCTATAGTCTTCTTATCCTCCTTATACAACATTCCAAGCAAGTGATGCACCGCATTACTGCAAATAAAGTTTAGACTGTTCATGTATACAACTGTGTGCTGACAGCGACGTGTTGGGGACTGGGTGGACACACTGGGGCGGAGGTGAGGGAGAGGATGACAGTGAGCGTGATGAAGGATTGAGGTTGGGCTGCCGGCACCTTGGGGTCGCTTGGCAAAGAAGCTTTGAGGAAGAGAGAAGGGAAAGGAGGTTCTGGGATTGAGCGACTTAAGACATAAAGTCTGCTGGCTCGGAAAATATGCACTAAAAATAATGTAAACTGTAACACTTGTTAGAATCAGAGGAGTAAGATGCATTAGAAGGAAAGACGCTTAGTATATATCTTGACAGCTCCAAGGAGGCTATCAAAGGACATTTGGGCTAAAAACACCACATCAGTGAACTATTTCTTTAATTAGAAGTATAAAATACACTGTAATATTTGACAAGCTGGTCTTTTACTTTATATGTAGTTGTTGATTTCAATTAATTTTATGAACTTAATTTTGTCAAGTTGCTCAAACTTAAAAGAGCGATTATTTCCTGAAAAAAATATTTTTTTTCTTAAATCGCATTACCTTTTTTCTCTCATTAAATCACTTTATTATCATAATATTATGACTTTATTCTAATGTTATTGGAACTTTATACTCTAAATTATGACTTGAGTCTTGGAATATTATATAATATATTTAAAACTGCACAGTGGGATTTAAATTATAGTTTGGTGTTTTGGCTCTTATGACTCGATCAACAGTTGTTAGATATACTGTATGGTCTGGGGTTGATATTATTAAAACATCTGCAGTCACTGCAGAGAATACAACAGAGCCACTTGAGAGGAGAAGGGGCATAGATGCAACACAGGGAGTCCTCTGCAGCTGCCATCACTATACAGTTATCATGTCAATGGTATATTCCCGCAGGCCTGCCTGTATAAGTGACTGAGGAGCCGTGCATGTTGACTCAGCAGCCTTGTGTTGTGTCGTCCCAGCTGGTCTGTAGGAGAGTGGGGGGTGTGCAGCCGAAGCTGTGGCGGAGGAGAGCAGATTCGGCAGGTCCAGTGCGTCCAGAGGACCAGCCAGTCCGAAGCAGCCGCCCTGGCTGACTCTCACTGCGTCCAGCCCTCTCCCACTAGGAGGCAAGTCTGCAACATGCATAGCTGTCCGCCAGTTTGGACCGCGGGGCCATGGTCACAGGTAAGCATGTGTGAAAGTGATCTGCCACATATCACACTGACGTATGACAGACATACCGATGTAGTAGCACAATACATTTATCCACAGGAGGTTAGAAAAACTGTTCAAAGCTTCAGACTAGTTCTACACAATGTGTTGCTAAGTGAGCCCTCGCCTTAATGGCTTCACCACATTTTACGACGGTGATCTCAGTGACTTTAAACTATGAGTGTGCCCACTGAAACCTCTTATGTTTTGTTCTCGGCCCAAATTCCTGTGCATTATGTCTGGTGACTCGTTTCGCTGTTAAACTCCCATTTTACCCCAAAAGGTCCCTAACTACCTGCAACAGACGGTGTCCAGTGTGCTTCCTCTGTGCTAATTTGCAGCAAAGTGCGTCAAAGCCTCCTGTTTCTTGGATGACGTGAAACACGCTCAAAATTTTTGATTTAGGCTGTGCCATGAGATGTGTGCACAGGATCAGAATGGATATTGGGGGACTAGTTGGCCCGTGTCAAAGGAATTACTAAGGAAGTAAAGCACAATAAGTCACTGTGTGGAGAATGTGAGTGTATGGGAGAGTGTGCATGGTTGGCTTGTTCAGATCATTGGCTTGAGACATGTCTTTCTATGCTTAAGTCATTTAGTAGCCCCATTATGTCAAATCTTGTATTATTTTGATAAATCCTTTCTTGTAGTCGAGGGGAAGTGGAAAGACTACTTCTGAAAAGATGACTGTACTTCAAATATAATTGACTGTCGTTTTGAAGCCTTGAGTTTTGGAGAGTTTTTCGGAGAGCTTGAGCTTCTCTCATTGAGTGGAGTGCCCTCTGATGGTCATTTGAGAGAATACAGGTTTTAGGCACTTTCTGGAGCCGGAGTCTAAGTACATTTTCATTTAAGCCGTTTTCAGACTCTTTCACATATGAATAACCTAACCAGAGATTCTCCACTCAAGACGCATTCACAACAAGCGTTCAGGTGAGGGGTGACGCAGCAGGCAGGATGTAACATATTAATTCTGCTCTGTTCTCACATCTCCTCCTCCAGATGATTTATACACGGAGACTGGCCAGAGAAACTCAACATTTCCGTTCTCACATACACTTAAATAGCTTAAATAAAATCATTTCTCTTTTTTCCGCAGTGTTCTCGTAAGTGTGGCAATGGCCTGAGGAAGAGGACAGTGCTGTGCACGAGCACCAACCCAGGAGTCCAGACACACACGCTGCCAGACAGTATGTGCGCAGGCCTGCCAAAACCTGCCGGTCAAGAATCCTGCTTCATTAAACGCTGCCAGAAACAACGAAAGGTCCAGTGGTTTGTCTCCACATGGCAAGAGGTAATTCCCTACAGCAGTTGTAAAGACGGGTGAAAATATGTGGAATTAAAATGAATAAAGCAGCAGTTATGAAGTATGACATTTTTTGGATATCAGTTCACTTTCTCTCGTTTTTCTTTATTCTGTTTTCAGTGCTCAGTAACGTGTGGGCGTGGGTATCAGACACGCTTCATCAAATGTGCAGAGAAGGTCTGTATCACAATGTATTACTTATATTGTACATTTGCACTTTAACTTTGCTTATAATAAATAAATGCATTTCTATCAATTAATGCAAAGAATGGCTTTCTTTTTGGTGTCATGTTATACATGTATATATTTATATATACAGTATCTTGATGCTTACATACACATTTTTGGTTTCTGTGATAAAGGACACTGCAGGAAAATACAGAGAGCTTGCTGCCAAGAAGTGTCACCACGTCCCCAAGCCAACAGTAGAGCTTCAGAAGCCCTGCATCCTGGCTGATTGCCCCGTCCGCACGACACCGCCAGTCCACAGGTGGAACACACATCATCGCACCCATCCACCTCAACCTCCGCTGCGACCAGACTGGCATTCATCTCCCTGGACACAGGTAAGTTACTCTTTTTCGTTCAGGGATCTCTTGAAAGACGCTATATAAATTCAAGCTATTATTTAATTATTATTCAGAAAAGGGATGATTTTTACATCAGGAGCCACACTGTTGAGCTTTATAGAGGAGGCATTAATTGTGTGTCATCGAATTCACCTCCAAGATTTGTTTCTTTGTTAACTACAGTGCACAGTGACGTGTGGAGGAGGAGTGCAGGCCCGGACAGTCCAGTGTCTGGCTCAGGGGAAGGCCTCCTCTGGCTGTGCACTCCATCTTAAACCCTCCATGTCTCAGGCCTGCAACACCAACTTCTGCCCACAGCCTGAGAAGAAAGGTACAGAAGCTCTTACATGATGTATTTTTGATGCTCAAAGACAAACTGAAATTGTTCTTCTTGGAATTTACAGCATGAAAGTCTTTGCCAGAACACAAACAAACTTTCACAAGCATTTTTATATTTTTTCCCCACAGACCTTGCTTGCAGGGATTACTTCAGCTGGTGTTACCTGGTGCCCCAGCATGGAGTCTGCAACCACAAGTTCTATGGCAAGCAGTGCTGCCAGTCCTGTTCAAATTCAAACCTATAATCACATGAACTGACTGTCTGTTTCACCCACAGATAGGTAGTTAGACAAAAGACTATATTTGACGTCCATGCTTGAAAAGACAGTTTTTTAGTTTTTTCTTTTGCTTTAAGCGTGTGGCGAGCACTGAAAAACAAAATGACATTTCAATGGAAGTGCAAGAGAGTTGCAGTGCCCTCTCCTCTCCCTGCGATGCCGGCCATCTGGATAGAAGAACTTGATGCTGACAGCACTACACAGGAATGTGATCAGGACAGTACAAATAAAGGAGAGAATTATGAGGAGGAACTCGCAAAATGGGAATCTTGATTAAAGTGAATAGGACTGACATGTCCAAAAGAAACTGAAAACCTGACAAATCCCAGCTTTGTTTATATACTGTATGTAATAGAACAGATCTGTACCCAGGACACCCAACATCTCCCAGACAACCGAGGGCCGGTGATGGCAGACCAACAGAGAAAAGTGGTGGACGAGGTTTAAAGCGCTGCCACGCGACAACATGTGATACGCCCTGGAGTGCACTGCGATTCTTGACAATTTGGAAATCTGGGATCTGATAATGAAAAGGGATGTTTCAAAGAAACAAGTAAGAAAACATAGTTTTACTGTAAGGCTTGATAAAAAACAGGCTGGGGACAGTCAAAGGGGGCTTCTTTAATAACTGGACTTTTGTAGAATGCTCTTTGTTGCCGTATAAAAGAAAAAAAGAGAAAAAAAGGAAATGTATGGTACATGAGAGAAGTATTCAGCGATGGGTCTTGGTTGTGTGAACTGGCTTTCGTACTCAGTGGTGCTACAACGTTGTCTTTTGTCACCAAATCAATGTGAAATCCTCAAGAAGAACAACTGAGCTTGTGACCCATGTACAGTGTTGTTTGTTTTATTTATTGGCTTTATGATACAGCGTTGCTGGAAGACTGTATTAATAAGCAGTATAAATACGTCCTTTTATTACTCTACCCTATTACCCTTATATTTTGTATAATGTTTCATAGAATTTCATGCTGACAAACTGCACCTTTTTTTTTTTTTACTCAAAACATTTATTTTATTTTTGAAGAAAAACATCTGTGATGTCAAAATCTCAATCATTTATGTCACCATTGATTAGTGATAATTAACAATAGCTGGTTATTGGAAATCTTTATCAATAACAAAAAGAAGCTGTTTGAAAAGGCATGGCTCCATTTATTAGTTTTTTATTACTCGAAGCAGTCGTGTATTACATGCATTGACATAGCAAAAAAATAATGCATTTCAGATTGATTTTGGACAAAAGCACTGACAGATGATGGCTAATACTTTTTCAGTGTGAGTTTCTACAATGTAAATGGGACAATAAATAAATGTGTGTCATGTCAGCATCTCAGCTGTAGCATGCAGTTGTCCGTCTGGTTGAATTTCTTCCTCCAGGGGGGTTATGTCTTTTTTTCTGTGAAAATACAAACAAATACACGAAAGATACAAAATATACAAATAAAAAACGTTAAAAGAAGAAATCCTTATCCGCCCCATGTTCTGGATCCAGGCCACTGATCCTTCAGTGCATCACCGAAACATGTCCTTGAGATTCATTAAAAGTGAAAACCAAGCCTCTGAAGCTGATTCCTTCACTCCTTGGACTCAAGCAGTCGACAGCCCCAAGTGCACAATGTACTAAACACGGAAAGAGAGGGAGTTGAGAGGCTGTTGTCTGATGTTTCATCATCCAAAGTTGTCTTTTTCTCCTGAACTCTACCTTTTACTGTGTGGTAGGTGCACCAGGCTACGTGTTAGCATAACAAGTCAAATCATAATGTGCTAAAACTTACAAGAAAAAGAAGAAGAATCAAAAAGCAAATGAAAAAACTTTCTGGAGCCCAATTCTAAGATCTAATATTCAGTGTGCATGCACCTAAGCAAGTGCCCTGGCTATAGAAGTAATGCCAATGTGGTATTAGCCATTTCAACACCTATGACATACTGTGTCTGGGCTTTACTCTGAGTCATTTCTCAACAAGGCGAGGAGACGCTGATGCCCAAAACAAAATCACCATTGTCATAATCCCTGGGGCACAGGCCTGAGGCTCTGGGATGGAGAGGGAGCGAGGGAGGAGAGAGAAGAGGAAGAAAAGGGAGAAGGCATCTGTGTTTTTGGTGCTGTCATAGAAAAATGCTGTGAGAAATACAGTGAGTGAGCCAGAGGGAGAGGTGGGTACAGAGAAAAGGGGGTTTTCCTCCTTGTCAACGACCTCACTGTAGTTGATTCATCGCTGGTCAGCTGTGAGCATCACTGGGTATAAATGTAGGCCAGGAGAGCAGTGTGTGTTTGTCTGCACCACGTCCACAGATCTAAAGTACTGTTTTACCATACAATGCCAGTTTGCTGTCAAAAGGGACACACACACACACACACACACACACACACACACTGCATCAGATGACCCTCCCTCCATGTTTATATGGAACGCACAGTCATTAGCCACACACAGGAATACACACAATATTCAACAATCCCCAATTTATGCTGTAGTACAGTAATGTTAATGCTGAAGGAAGTATATTACTATGCAAAATAAGAATAATTATGAACCCCTTACACAACTTCAAAAGTGACAACACAATTACAAAAGAAACACGATGAAATGAAAAGCCACAACACACCCAAGACAGCCACAACACACCCGCAACAGCCACAACACAATAACACAATAGGATTGGGTTTGCAGTTGTGTTGTCACTTTTGTGTTTTTCGTTAATATGTGTGTGAGACGTCCAGGCCAGCGTGCACACACTGAATGTTACAACATGTCTGGATTTTGCATCCTGGTGTCTGTTTGCATTTCCTCCTACAGTCCAACGACCTGTAGTTCACACAGCTTTGTGTCGCTGTGAATCTAAATGTGTTTAGCTGCCAGTTTTAACCCTGCAAAGACATATTAGACTCACTCATCAAAAATAAACATGCACTGCATCGGGTGCAAATTTATTTCCACCCCCCTCCGTATTATTTGTTACAGACACTTCACAAGAAGAAATGGAATAAAATTGGAGAATTATTGTTTATACAAAGATAGAGATCGGAGATTGGCTTCCTGCAGATAAGAGGGGTGATCAAGACAAATCCTGCAACATGAGTGTTACCTAACCCATGTCAGGTAACAGAGGAGATTATCTGTCAGGGTGAGACAGGAAAAGAGGAGAGCCCGTTCAACACTCCCCTTTCCACTTTAAAGAAACTATGCTATCTCTGACTGCATCTGTTTGGAGAGAGTGGGCTCTTTAGCCTCGAGGCTGCGCTCTGAAGGTTCATCTGAAGTTACAGGGTTATTACCTTTCCATCAAGGATAAACCTGCAGCGTATGTCCCAGCACCTTTTGTTGCTTCCTCTCAGCTATTGGACGACCTGCTGCCACAGTAATTATCCTGACCATTGTGGAGCATGACGAACTGGGACAGCCACTCAAATCCAAACCTCTCACACAGAACCACAGTACTGAGGGTTTGCATGGCTCAGTGTAAAATGCCTATAGACGATGAGACATAAAACTACACACTTTTTATGTGTTTTTGGAGAAACTCAGATTCTGTGTCTGGACCTTGGCCTTCTAAATGTTAAACAGAGTAATTCAGTGGAATCACAAAGATTTGTGTGTGTGTGATGGAGAGACAGACAGAGAGAGGCTAGATAAAAACACAGTTATCTGTACAACAGTACCCTCTGTTGGATACATAGGAAAATTAAAACTCACAATGTACACAATGACTAACACAATACAACTATGGACTACTTGCAATAACTCAGCTATAATAATAATATTAATAATAATAATAGAAACAATAATGTAAACCAGGCTACAAAGTGCTTTACAAAATACATGGGCATAAAAAAACTGAGCAAAATAAGACTAAACTAAAATAAGGAAGAACATAAAGAGAATGTTTAAAACAAACCAGGGTATAAATGCCGACGAGCTGAGAGTGGATGAGTTGTTGGTGATATCATAAAAATGCAAAAGTGAGTTCCCTGACCGGGAATCGAACCCGGGCCGCGGCGGTGAGAGCGCCGAATCCTAACCACTAGACCACCAGGGACTGTTGCATCCCGCTAACACTCAATTCACTAAGTAGGTTGATGGTTACTCAGTTTACTCGTGTTGATGAAGCGATGATTCTCCATTAACGCGAGAATCCTGAGCTCCGCCGCTTCCCGCTGCTGCACCTCAGCATGACCGATCCTTCAGACCTGGAGGGAACGCAACGACACAACCAACCGGTGACGTGTAAAGCACGAGGTTACACTGCCCCCTGTCGGCCGGTGAACGCTGGTAACGCCCCTAAACTAAAGTGAAACGCCTGAAGTAAAAACTAGAACGATAGAAACTAACATCGTTTGACCAAAAGAAAAATCAAACACGCGATCAAACGCGTGTGACACTCACATGAAATCCAGCACATGGTACAAATTGACTGTGGTTACAGTTCAACGGGAAACGTGCAACTGTTTCTTCACCGGCATTTCACGAAGCCGCCCCTGTTGGGTCCTCGCGCGGGGCCTTCGTCAACGTGGGTGACGCGAAAATGCGAAGTTGTTTTGAAGCTGTGTGTATTCAGCAGAACGGGGACATGGTCGTTGAATTGAAGAGGAAAAAAGAAGGAAGTTTGAGAATAACGGAGGAACGTGAGTTACCATGATGCCCGGGGACAGTCAGTCTAAAACTGTGGCCATAGCTGCGGACGCGACGGTGGGAAACTGTCAGAACTGCTCCGTTCTGAACCAGGTCAGATCATCTTACTCTCAAACATGTAGCAGTCACCTGTTCTGTCCCTGGAGGCGGAACACAAACACATCCCCGTGGGTTTGACGTGATTCGTGTTTGTTTCTCCGCTGCACTGAGCGTGTCGGTTGTGACCAACGTCCCTGTTTGTTTTTGTTGTGTCTCGTCCCATCACACGTTGCAGAGCCTGACCGAGTACGTGTCCTCCTTCCTGGCACTGAAGCAGAAGATAACTGTCTCAGAGTGAGTATCTTCAAAAACACAGAGGAAGTATTACTTTGTTAAGATGATAAGTTGGACACCAGGGTTAGTTCGACGTATAAATATAATTTGGTTATCTTCAGTGATAAAGGCTATTTTGGCAGAGTCTGGGCCATGTACTTACTTTCTATGGAAAAGTACCCTACTATAACAATCTGAGTTAAGTGACTCGACAGGATGACCAGAGCTTTAACTTTACATCAGTGTGATTTGATTTGAACTCTTTTTGTTGAACAGGTAAACAATGTACAGATACGAGGTAGATCAATAATGTGTCACACCTTCTCTCTGTGCTGCGACAGTGCAACACAGTGCTTCAGCATTATATTGATACATATATTGATCCTTTGCAATATTGCTATTGATAATTATTGACCTTGTTTTATTGCCCAGCCCTATTGTATTTGTTGTGGTTGTCTGTTGACAGGTTCAAAAGTCAGGAAGATAAAATGAAGTTTCTTCAGTTAAATTAACTGATGAGTGTTTGTGTTTTCATGTTAAATGAGTGAAAGGAAATGTTTAACAAAAGAAATAGAGTTTTAAAAAAAGTAAACTCATAGTACTAAGCTATTTAAATAATCTCTCAGCATCGCCCCCATATGTCTTGAGCATCAGTGTAAATGAAAAGTGTTGTGCTGCATTGAAAGCCTGGACTCATCCAACAGCATGAGTGCACACATACTGTACATGTGAGGACACAACTGAATTATGAAGCTGCACACAATCTGTGGTATGTTCTATTATGTCTCATTCAACTTCACTCACACATTCTTAACATGTTTTTTATGCAGTGACTCTATCAGACTTCAACAGCAGCTGGAGGAGCTGCAGATCAGATTGGTTACACTGGAGAAAAAGACTGTTGATTATGAATCTATGCAAGCCGAGCTGGAAGAAAAGAAGGTATGTCATTTCTCTGTAAAACCCCACTAAAGGAATGGCAAGAATATATTTGTCTGGACAAATTTCACTTCTCCTAAATATTCGTTTTTTATTCCCAGTCGATCTAATATACATACCGTTCATTTTTTTAGTGTGCTCTGACGGCCTATGGACAGCTTTCTGAAGAGATGGAAAAACTGAAGCATGAAAACAGCAAGACAGTAGCAGAGTAAGAGATGGGGCCAGTTTTAACCATAACAGAGCAGATCGTGGTTATGTCTTTCTTTTAAAATGATTACTATTATATTTTGTATCTTTCAGGAACAAGAAGCTTGAAGGGCAGCTAAAGCATGAGAAAGGTACTTTGCTGTCACATCCTGTCACTTAAATCCAGCAAAGACTTGCACAGTTTGTAAATTCACCTTTTGGTTTATAATTTCTTTAAACTAAAATGTGCTGCTTTGTCCTTTTAACTTGTAGAACTGACCGAAACACAGTCCCTTGAGAATGCACAGCTGAAGAGGGAAAAGGCAGAAGTAGAGAATGATCTATTAAAAACACAGGTAAGCATTAAAATTCTTTTGACCAGGTTCAATCATATGACTGTAATATATTCTCATTACTGACCCTGAATACTAAACTGAAACTTCATAATCTCTGCAATTTTTGTCTTTTCACCTCGTCAGATGTCTTTGAAGAAATCTCAGGCACAAGCAGATCAAGTTGAAAAGCTAACAGAGGAGAATATCAAGATAACAAGCATGTGAGAACTTATAATAAAGATGTGTTTCTTATATTTGAAATGAGATATACAATAATTTCAGGTCATTTTCTTCTTCACTCTTCTTTTAAATATTAGTTGATATATTCCTAATTATAAACAGATTAAGAAAAATCTTTCAATGTAATTTTTTTTTCTTCAACAGAAAGGGCAACCTTGAAAATAACATCAGAGTGCTTGAAGGTTGGTATAAAAAAATATGTGTCACACAATTCAAATCATATTGTTTTCATAAGGGTTTCTTGAATTGTAGGGATAAAAAGACAATTCCTGTTTGGTGGTATGGCTGTTCGTATATATTTATACATGTATATGTTCTTATTTCAGACTCAGTTTTCAAACAGAATCATCAGATATCCGAACTGACCAAAAAGAAGATCCTGCTGGAGAGAAACATTAATGATCTTCAGGTGCAGTGATGATCTTTGGACGTCATACTAATGGGAACATTATTTGTAATGATATTGAACTGACCCTTTCTTTATGTATTTCAATTAAATTGTAGGCGAGACTGTTGAAACTTGAAAGAGAAAGGATTAAAGGTAAAAAAAAAAGGATAATACAATTCATGCATTCACACGTTTCTGTAACAAAGTATATGTCAAATATTTCATTTGTTTAACATCAGAATTATTTCTCTACAGACTATAGGAGCACATCAACTCAAGCAAGTCCCCAACAGGAGCATAAAGTCGACAAAGGTGAGCTTTTGGATTCATTTATTATGTATCACAGAGCTAACCACATGCAGTGAGCCTGAAGGCAGATTGTCATTTTCACTTTTGCTTTATGTGAATGTTTGTGTGTTTTCCAGAAAAAGTCCTGATGCTGCTCGAGAATTTGTGGGCATGTGTGGAACCTCAACAGCAGCACACACACAATCAGTTGCACTTAACTGGTGACACATCATTAAGTAAGTTGGCTATGCTGTAGTTTTTAATTGGCAACGGTGACTTCTGAGGTTTTTTTTGTAGAATGCTTTTAATCCTTTCCCTTTTTTTATTGTAATTTCAGAGTCCTGCTCCAACTCCAAGCAGGTTGGACCCTCAACTCCACAACGCAGACTGAACTCTCATCGGAGTTTCATGTCTCAGTCCACCTCTGACAACGACGTGGGATCTCACTGTCACACGATGCAAACGAAAACCTCCTACACACAGTTAAAAACTTCTCCTCCTGCCCAGAAAACCATCAAGCACCAAGTGTCTCCTCAGCGCTCAGGTGGCAAGAAGCAAAGAGACTCTCCTAAAAAGAGCAAGCGATTATCCAAGGAAAACAAAACTGAGGAGTCGTTGTCGGACATAGGAAGCTCTGGAGTTTCTGTTGAGGAGATCCTGGAGATGTTTAAACCGATGACTGCCTGCATATCACCATTATCAGACTCGGTGAGGATTTGGTTCATATTTCATGTGAATGTTTTATTGTTGATTTAGTCAATGCTTTGCTTTCCCTATCAATGTCCATAAAATTATTTTATATACAATATTATACATAGCAAGGACTCTTTAAATCACAATAACTGAATCAATAATTAATGGAGATATAACACAAAGATATAATACAAACTAAAACAGCACTCAGTAGAGCGCATACCTCCACCAAGATCAAAACAAGTCCTGGATCCACCCCTTAATCCATGTCCAGACAAAAATGAGTTGTTAATGGCAGCGCAATCTTGCTAACAAATTAACAAACAAGCATTGGTGGACACAATCTCCATGGTGAAGGTCATTGACTTTCCAAAATGTTTCTGTCAGCTCATAGTTCCAATCACGTTTTTGTTTTTTTTAAAGAATTAAAAACTTAAGTGGGCGCACATTATGGCAAACAATCTGAAATTAATTTATGGTCCATTGAGAAACATATTCCCAAGAAAAAGTGATTCATTTCATTAACAATCCTTGAATTTACTTGCTTAAAAAAAGTATATATTTAACTTTTTTCTAGTCATTTTAGTCGAGCACTGGTCTTGTTAATTTTGTTATCCACATGCCATCGTGGACATGAGTCATGACATTGCATCCTTGTTTTCTTTCAGGATAAAGAGATGGAGTCTATGGAGACGGATGACGGAGAAAGGGGAAACCATCCCAGAACCTCTGAGGACCCCGCCCCTCTACAACAAGAAGCGTCCATACTCACAACTTCAGTGTCCGACCACCGTCCAAACCTTTGTGCACCTCCAGTAGAAGAGAATGGGGATTTGCCAGTTGTCACAGAACCTGAAGTGGAACACATTTCTGATGAAAATGACTCTAAAGATTTGGGGCAGTTGAACAGTGTCACTGAAATGAAGGAGAAAATCAGTACGGATGGTGAAGAAATGGATCTTCTAAAAGACGAGCAGACTGAGCAGGACGCAGCAACAGTGCAAACACAGTCAACGTTGTCATCTTCTGTTTCTGCCACATCACATAATACAGTTCTGGTGGAGTTTGTCTCGTCAGCAAGTGAAAGTCAACAACCATCCTGCAGCAGAAGTCCCTGTCACAATTTTACCACTGACATCACTGAAACTGAAAGTGTTCCAGAAAAGGCAAAGGAAGATCGGTCAGAGACTGTCACAGTGATGGATGTAGATGTAGACGTTAGTGATAGTCCCGGGGACAAAACAGTCGCTGCTGATGCTGGAAAGTCACCCAGAGGAAATGATTGCACAGCAGCTCCAGGAGATTCACAGCAAGGTGCTTCCTCAACATTCACAGACTTTGTGAAGGACACTGAGGTTTCATACACGGATGATCTCTTAGAGGTTGAACAAAATCATGAGGACTCTTGTTTTTTGACTCAGAGCCGTGAGGTGGCCTCTGTCGTAAAGACCCAGGAGATTAAATCTGCACCCGAAGATGATAACATTTGTACGTCAGGCAGGAGTGACAGCTTCAGTAGTGTCTCAAATGAGAAAGTTAAAGAGAAGCTTGAAAACAATGGATCCATCAAACATATTGAGGTAGAACATAGTAATGATGAACAAACAACCGAAAGAGTTGATGAAATTCTTCATTCTTTCACTCAATCACCTCAGATATGTTCACGGTTAAAGATGGAAGATGCAGACGAGGTTCAAACCGGCCAGAATTCTGACATAGTTAATGTTGAAACTCCAGAAGAGAACTTTGAAATAGAGACATTGAACAAAGAAATAACGTCCGATCATGATTATTCCCTTTCTGTGTCCGAAGAGACGTTGACTGTAGACTGTGAGTCTTTAAAGGAAAATAGACATTCTCTGTGCAGGCAGTTGAGTCCTACATGTCTGATACCCACTGTTAAACTGCAGGTTTTGAACACTCACTCAAACATAGGAAAGTTGAGTGTGGATGTTGAGCACGTTTCAGCAAACAACAAAGCTGTTCCCGATTCAGAGGAGCAAGGTGTGATTGAAACTGCTGTCGTCAAAGACGCCCCTCAGGACAGAATCATCACAAGGAGCACTACCTCGTTAATACAGAGCGCAGCTGCCACGAAAAGGCAGAATAAAGTTTTGGAGCCTTGTTCAAGAGCGCTTGAAAAACAAAGTCACCCGGCAGCAGCTATATCTACAGCTGCACATCAACCACAGCAATGCTTAGGCGAAGTTCGCTCTGAGATGGGCCCCCCACTTCCTCCTCTCCTCACCCCTCTGAGCACACCCCCAAAAACAGGTAAATCAATCAGTCCCCGGCAGGCTATTGGGAAACTCTTATTTCCCTCACCCATGGATAGGCTGGCTTCTCCCACCACTCCTGTCCTGAGACACAGGACACCTAACAGTCGCCATCTCAGGTCTTCAACCTCGAACAGTCCGCTCCCTTCAAATGGAGTCCCTTCATCGCCGCTTCAGTTCGGCTCTGCCACGCCAAAACACGCCGTGCCGGTCCCGGGTCGCCTGCCCGTGACAGCCATGAACTCCTCCCCTTCCTCCTCCAGTCCGTCTCAGGAAAACTCCATGAGAATTCTCGACACCATGTATCCAGAGATGTCCGCCCGCGCCAGAACTCTGAGCATCCTCAGAGGGAACGTTAGTCTTAGCAGGTGCTCATCGGAAAACGGGACGTTACCCACGACATCTGACGGTCAGATGTCCGGCTTCAAGACCATCAACTCCACCTCGACGGCCTTCACCAAGACTGAGATGAGAGGAGAAAAAAGACAGGCCACCAGTTTGCTTGAGCCCAAAAACAGTAAATGTTGCAGGCTTGACAGCCACTCTCCCACCTCCAGTCTTCTGCAGGTGCCCTCCTGCTCATCAAACAGTGGAGAAGAAACCACCTCACCCCAGAGTTTGAAGCTTGAACAGCTCAAAAATCCACCTCAGTCCATGGACAGTGAAGAAACTGCAGAGCAAAATCCATATGATGCTTTAAAGAAAATTGAAAAACAGTGTTTTGATGTATTGCCTGTGATCCAGAGCCATATCCACGTTGGTAACCTCCCCAAAAAACCTGTCTTGAGGGATGAAGAAAAAGAGCTCATCTCTGAGATTTGCCACAGCAGCTTGGTGAGTGTGCTGGTTTATCGAGCTCATGTATGAACTCTGGCATATTCATAACAAAGAAGGAACTTAAGGATGTAAATAACAAAACTACTTTCTAAATATCCAAAGTCTTTATTTTAGTTTTCATAGTGTGGATCATTTTATATTCACGTGCAGGACAGTTTCCCAGATTCAGTATCCAAGTAGGACCAAGAGGAGCTATTAGGCAAAAACAAGTTATTATTGTTCCAATGCTCTTTTTTGCTAAATATTTGGGGTGAAATGGTATTCATATTTGTACCAAAAGTTTTAGTATGGGCTTTTTGGGTCAGCATGCCTGTACCAAACAAATGCTGCCACTGCACATGGAGAACACAATTTGAACCTGCACATGCAAACCCAGCTCCTCATGGCATTTATGCAGCCTCTAGCTATGGAGTTAGGCCAAAGAGATAACAAGATCTATAAGGGATTTTATAGCAGTGGATATGAGACCATACTTTTTTGTTGAGAACACAAATTTAAAATACGTGCTGAAAGTAATCGAGCCCTGAAAGCTTCTCATTTGAAGTCAGTTAAAATTATGGCACAGATATTTATTTTTACATTTTATATTTGTTTGGAAGAATATTTATTTCGATTTACTTTCTGTAAATGTACTGTTGCAGCAGGTTACAAGACTAAGGATGACAGCAATCATCTGTCTCGTTAAAAAAGAGGCAGTTTAATGTTTTCGCTGAACCTAAAACATAACAAACACTGACTGAGGTATGCAACCAACTGTGATTTTTGTGTATCATTACAGCCCTACTGAATATTTTCTCCCTATTGACAGAATCGGCTCATCAGTTCTTCGCATATATAGGTTTTCACAGCCTTTGTATAAAGGCAGTAGCATGTGAACGTAGCCACAGTGGTTCATTAAAACAAGTTAGAGTTCATGTGTACCTCCTTGTAAATAAAAGTATACGTTAAAACAAATAATTGCTATTAGCTTTTACTTCGTGTAAAATAAATGTGCATGTCCTCTGTCTTTTCAGCTCAAGGAGGATGATATGATTTCAGCCATTCTGCACAAACTAAAAACTGAGAAGAGGGACCTCAGCACAAACTACATGCAGGCTCTCTGTAGAGTCTACACAGGCATCTGTAGACAGAAGAGAGACTGGGAGATGGCCCACATCCTGGCGTACAGCATTCTCACAGAAGGTTAGCAATCACTCTGTTTTTACCCAACTTTGTTGCACCCACCCAGCTGTTTACAAAGTGTTTTCCACCTGAAAGTATAAGATTATGGGCTTTGTTGAGTTTTTCTTTTTATATCTTCTTCACTGCAGATTTCCCAGATTCTGCCAAGCTGATTTTGTTCATGGTGACAACATGGCCCAGTCTTCTCTCACACAGCAGCTGTTTGTGCCAGGCCATACACACTGTCACCAAACTGAAAGCACAAGAAGAGATTCTCAGTTCACTTTCAGCATTTCTCGGCTGGGAGAAGGTATTTGAAATTTTAGATACTTTCACGGGGTGTTTGCTTGAAGCATTTCCAACCTGTGTGACCTTAGTTTGGAGTTAATTGTCTTCGTCACACCCTCTTTTCTTGCTCATTGTTTGCATCTTTGTGCTCACATGAAGCAGAGTGGACCCTCAGAGACCTAATCTCCCTGTTTCTCTGTAGAATCCTCCTTGTGAAATCGACGAGCTGATCTCCAGAGTGCTGTCTGATATCCGTTCAGGGTCAGATGGGTCTTTCACCAAACACAGTCGGTTCGGCTGGGACCTGGGGACTCAGGCATGGGAACATGTCTTCACACTGCACCTCCTCTGTACTCACAAAAAGTGGAAGTGGACCTATGAAAATGTATTAGGGTAAGTTGTTTTTCTCTGATGGTAAGCTACAGATCTTAATGATATAATTGAAGTCAAAATTGTCGTCCAAAGCAAATAATATAATGATGCAATTTTTCAAAGAATGCAACCTAATCTGCTAATTCTGCTTTGACAGTAAAGAGTTGTGGCCATTAATGAACACATGGGTCACACAGCCCAGAGATCAACAAGCACCCATTTCAGATCTGTCTGTCGCCACTGTGCTCCGACTCATAGGTTAGTTGTTTTTAATTTACTGGGGTATACATCATTATCTGAGTTGATGAGTAATTTGATGATCACTAGTGAATTTAATTGTCTTTTTTTGATTATTTAAACAGGATGCATCTGCCAGCTGGGAATGAAAGAGAAGTGTGTGTCCTCTGTGGTAACTGTCGCCAATGTCATCAACACGTTTGGTCGACATGGACAGAATGAAGGTATGGCAAACGAGGAGGGGCTGTGTGAATCAATGGGCTGCACATAGCTCTATAATGGAATACGATTTTACCCATTAAAAACATTTAAATTATAATGTGGTTGTAAGTGTTGATATTTTGGTGGTGGCCACAAACAAATCAATGTAAGGACACTGAGAAGAGTCAAAATTGGCGTGCGTCCCAAACCCCCTCAGAATGTGGTCTGATTGTTTGGATCGCAGGATGCATTTGGATGCATTCATACCTGTACTTAAAGGTGACCACTTGTGATCTAATCTCTCAGGGTGAATGTTAAAAGCAGTTCTGAGTGGGGTCATGATATTTCTTTTTCACATGTCATTACACAGAAACTTGCCTGAGTGCATTTAAGCTGGTTCTAGTGTTCATTTTTCACTCAGCCATGTTAAAGAGCACTAGCATGTTGGTATCTCTCAGAAATGTTTCCAAGTAAACAAAAAAAGCCTGTATGATGTTTTATTCATCCTGATGTGAGGAAGCAGCCAACCAGCAGATTAATTCCCATGTCTTCTATCTGCAGGTGTGCCTTGGGAGGTCCAGCTAGCAGCAGTGTACTGCATGTACGAACTGTCGCCCAGCAACCCAAAACAAGCCCTGGACGCCCTTGCAGAGTGGAGAGGAGAGACGACTCAGAGCGTCCCCCCTGCTGTCACTAGCTACATTAACCAGTTAGCCTCCATCTGCCGACAAGTCAAGAGCTGAAGGGGACACATGTCAGAGAAAGTAATGTGGACATGCATGTCTATAGACGGGAGAATGAAGACGCCACCATACATCTCTCTATTCATATAACCTCCCTGACTGGCTGCCGGTGATCGAGGTGTTTGGATCCATGAACAGTCACATCTTATATTGAAAAGGCTTCCTAAACATGTTCTGTTTCTGTCTTTTATGAACACTTAGTAACTGCTCCAACTTTGTAGTAAATGTTTCCTCAATTTTTAATGACACACATAGAATTTGGTTTTCAAGTTTTTTTTTAGCTGTCCACAACCTGTTCCATATAACTTCCTCCCTGTCTACTATTCTCAGGTAATGCTCTGAAAATATTGTAAAATGTGTACATTTGTATTCTGACTCAACTGGGTGCTGCTGTAAATCTTTCGACATCCATTGTTTTGTAAATATAATGTGCTTTGTAGTAATGAAAGTAAGATGGTAAACATTTTGTACAGTTAAAAGATTCAGAGCTTATTTAAGTCTTTTTTTTTTTTTTTCAAATAAAAAATGTCCATTTATTGAAACAAACCAATTGTTCTGCTGCACTCTCTCTTCACTTGGCTCTGTCTAATCTGTCAGCTTTGTGAGGAATGTGGACTTATACACTTTATCACTGCTGGAAATAAAACAAACTGCTGTTCATTTGACTTTAAGGCACATAGCATTTAAAAAAACATTTGATAAATGATCCAGGCAAATGACTAATCTCTGTCAATGGGTCAAACCACCACTTTCATGGGCTTGCCTTCAAAATAAAAGCCTACTGTGGAACGTAGAGTTTGAAGAATTAAAACAAACGTGCTATTTTATTGACAAAACGTGCAAAATGAGGACTAACCTTAATTACATTGGCCCCTTTGAAACAAATACAATACAATATAAAATGAAATATTGAAGGCAAATATAAACAGCTAAAAAAACGATAGGAAATCATTAACAGCATTAGGGCTTCGATACAGAAAGAAAACAGTGTTACAAAATAGTAAAACCCAGATAAAATTGAAACTAAAATGAAATTATTAAAATAGACCCTTATATCAGAATTAGGAGAAAGCAAGCAAATAAAATGTGTCAAAGAGAGATTTGAAAGAGGATTTTGAGTAATAACATCATTACTACAAAATTATTAATCCCTCTGCAGATACATAATTATTAGCTGTTTTGTCTTTAGTGAGTTTTTTGTGATATTCTAGAAAATAAAAAGGAATTAAATTCTTCACTTCCGGTTTGTTCGCCCTGCGCACGTGTGACTTGACGCAGCTCGCGCTCCTGAGGGGTGTGTCCCAGCAGATTTAAATCCCCTGCACATGCGCACTGGCTGATCCGTGCTGCTGCCTGCGCCATATTGGCTCACTTACATGGGGAGTGGAGTTGGACAAGCTGCCCGAAATAAAAACCCTACAACCAGGCTCCGGACATGAAGCACACCGAGGGTAACAAGTAAAGCAACGCGGCGGTAGGATTCATCTCTTTACTCGGGTGCTTAGCGCTTCATTTGCCGAACAGCTCGCATTTCAAACCCCGCGAAGAGGTTCTTCGGCCAACTCGAGTCCGATGGATCCCAGGACCGCTTGGATCCAGCCGGAGCAGAAGGGACCTGCCAACTCCCTGTGGATGCACATTTGGGAAACCTCTCAGGGATTTGGAGCCAACTCCGACCTCGACAACCACCTCCACCACCAGCGCAACTTCGCGGCTCAGAATTCAAACTCCGCGGACTCGAACGGCGAGTATTGCAAAAATGTAGCCCCGCTGCCGCCGGCGGTTGTGTTCGGGAAACTGCCGAAGCGAGGCGGCGGCGGAGACGGCAGCAGGGGAAGCGTCCGGAGGAAGGGCTCGCTGTCGCCGTCCTCGTCCTCGCTGGACTCGGAGGCCGAGAGCTCGTCGCCCTCCGGCTCTTCTCTGCGGATCGACAATTTGAACGTGGCGGAGGAGGCCAGCCGGTTCCTGCACTACGGCGAGCACGAGTTGAACGAGAACAATCTCCGGCGGCAGTGTCCCCCTCCGCCTTTCCACACCGCTCAGCAGCAGCACCACTGTCGCAGCATGCAACAGCCGGGCGGCCACACCCCCACCGGGATGAAGAATCAGCACGGGAACAAGCACCACCACTTCCAGGCGCATTCATCCGGCCGCAGGAGGCACCTGAACCGGGCCAACACTTTCCACGGCATCAACCCGCTGCTGTGCTACGGACACTATGTAGACTCGTCCTGTAGCCTGTGGAAAACCAGGCGCTACAGCCCGGGCGTTAATGGGTAAGGGCATGAGGTTGATTCCTTCGAGTCACGGACGGGTTCACAACATGAGGTGTCGGGACCTCATGTGGTACTTGACAGGATTCCACCAGGTCACCAATCACAATGAGAAGTGGGGAATCAATTCACACTGTTGCATCAGCTGTTTATAAAATATGCATTTTTATAAATGTTCCAACTAAACTGCATTTATTTGACCCAATTTATAACCTTGAACTTGAAGTTTAGTATTTTATAAAGTACCTCACATCAAGTATTTGATGCATAAACATATTTTGACATGTTTTTTCCCCACATATAGCATTGTGTAGGCCTCATCCTTGTATTTGCTACCTGAATTCCCAATTGCATCCAGCAGATTGATATCTGTAGTTACACCGTGCTCACTCCTTTATCAGTCCATGGTCCAAGATGTCCCTTGTTTCCTCCTTACAGTCTGCATGAAGAGATCATGGACTTCTTCAACTTCATGTCTCCACGACCGGAGGAGGAGGCCATGAGAAGAGATGTGGTGAACAGGATAGAAAGTGTCATCAAGGACTTGTGGCCCACAGCGCGGGTGAGTAACGGGAGGGTTCATCATGTGCCTGTGCAGAGGTTTGGAGAGGGCACCCCTCGCTGTGTATGGGAGCTGTACTTTCAAGTACTAAAAAGGACATTTTTATGCCTTTCCTTTTCTTTTCTTTTGTAACCCTCCTAGCGGGTTATGTTCGACATGAGTAAAAATCTCAACTTGCTCTCTTGCAAATCTTGCATATTGCACAAATGAATTTTTTTTTTATGTTGCACGTTGTTCCCAAGGAATTTTACCCCAGAATGGTGCAGTATTATTGTCTAGACTGTCCAAATAAAGAAGAAATTGGCCTGTTCACCCAGGTGTCATGTCTCCATTACTGTGGATCTGAGCCCACAGCCAACATAAACCTGCATCTACTGCAGAGTCATTTGATGCCGACTGTATCCGTTCCCATTGTAAAATATATAGCCAGGTGTTTGTGGGTTTTCTGACCAGTGGAAAAGGGGGCTTTACTGCGTAAGACTCTCACCTGTCTGACTTTACATGAGAAGTACCACCATGATCATTTCTTGAGACCATTTCATTCTGCACCTCTTATCCCCGTTCACTACCATTTTTACCACATGCTCCTTATAATCCTGCATCATGTAGTGACTGCAAAATCCCCTGTCAAATCGGTAATGCTACTTATTGGTGCAGAAGTGAAGTAGGCCTTTCAGATTTTCCAAAGCAGATAAAAGTTTGCAAACATGACTTTAGAGGAGTGATGCAAAAACATCGGAATCCAGATTTCGACAATTAAATTAGGAGTTTATTGTTTCAGGTCGTCTTTGTGCATGTTGTAAGGTCAGAGACGTGATGATTCAGCTCTGGTGATGTGAGGCTGAGGTAAGTGGGGTGCTGTAATGGACAGCTTTATGTTGAGATATATAATCTGTTTAATGACACGCTTGCTCAGATTTATATACATGGGGGAGACAGAATGTGAATTACCACCTCTCTGACACACTGTCTCAACCATAAATGTCCTCTTTTGGATTGCTTCAGTTTCTGTATGTCAGCCCTGCAATGCCCCGGCGACCTGTCCGGGGTGTACCCCACCTTGAGCCCGATGGCTTTGAGACCCTTGAAGGGATAGTTCACCGAAAAATGAAACCTAAAGAAATAGTTCACCCTGGAATGAAAATTCACTCTTCTACTCACCACTATGTAGATGGAGGAGGGGTAAAATGTTTGCGTCCACAGAACACTTTAGAAGTCTCAGTGGTAAACAGTGTTGCAGCCGAATACTTCCCCGCTCCTTGGGCAAATGGAACATCCCACCTGAGACAGTACCAAGTCACTCAGTGTATAGGGGCTTAAAATTGGCTGGAATATCAAACCACATAATCACTAACAGCTGCTGCAGGATGCATAGCAATGAGGAAATGTATTGTAATTCTCATTCTGGTCTCATCAATCTTGTTTGTAAGAGATGTGGACTTGGTGAGGAACTGACTCTGAGGAGCTTTTCTGTACGGGTTAGATGCTCTGACCTCTCGGGTAATCCATCCCGACCACAGACATTGAGAATAGTTTACAGAAGAAGGTCATTTTCTCAGACAGTTTCATAAAGCAGATAAAAACTACTTGTAGCGTCTTTAAAGTTTAAGTGGTAGCCTATAGATAATGGATGAATTGTTTCAGGTTGTTTAAAAAAATCTACATCCATACCAGTAGTTTGAAAATGCAGTTTTTTTCCAAAGATCTCTGTCCACAAGAGAATTTTGGCTCCCTATCAGTTTTTAATCCTTGTCCACACTGACGCATCAAGCTCCTTTATCGGGATTTTTCATGTGCTGGTTGTGTCATTATGCAACATTGGCCTTCAATACATTGTTTAATATCTCATATTGACTTTGTTTATTGCTTTTGTTAAATACTTTACAGAGCTGTTATGCGCTCAGTGAATCAATGTTATTTTCTTATTCAGCCAGTCTGTCTGAAGGTTTACTGCACTCGCGTATATTGTTTTGGCCACGCCATAGGCAGTCAACGGCACTGGTTTACTCTACACGTCCAAACACAGTTGGCCGGATATGATCATTACTCATGTCACTTGCGTTCCCAAAGTAACATTCAGAATAATTTTCCATTTTATGTTGCCAGCAGAATGTTAGTGTGCTTTATAATAAATAGCATTTTTTTAACGTTTACCATTATAAACATTTTGAGATAATCCTGGCCAGTGAAATCCCACTGGGCCACAATGTGGATAAAACTTTTTTTCTTTCCCCTAAAGACCATTTAGTATCACTCTTCCAAGCTCTAGCCCTACAAATACTAGATGTTTTTACAGTGGGCTCTGATCCCTGACCAGAACATAACATTGAGACAGGAGAGTGGACACACACCTTGTTCGACAGAGATCAGTGTCATGTTTTGACCTAATTTTTAACTTTTCAACAACTCATTCACTCTTCACCAAACTATGATCTACATTGGCAGTGTAAATTTTCTGTTAATATTTTCCCAATGTAGTACCTCCTGTAGCCATCTGCAGGATTTGATCTGTAGTTCATAATTTCTTTTTGACAACCATTTATGAAGTTGGTAGAGCAGAGTTAGCTGAGCAGACTGAATTCACTGTCAAGAAGGCTTGACCTGCATTTGACGTGCAGTACATTAATCACAAGTGACTTCTGTTTTTAAACAAATGTGAATTTAATGATGTAAATACACGT